ATTTTTTTTGCATTTGTGGGTGCGCGGAACCATGAGTGGTTATTAGCGGTGGCTAGGAATTTGGTAGGAGGCGAGGGGGTGAGTAGTCACTGTCTGTTTGATTTAAAATCTGTAGCATTTCTCAGCAATAACCTCTCTCTATCTCTCGATCTCTTAGTATTTATTGATTTTTGAGTATTTTGATGTTTCTTCGAATTTTGTTGATTTGCACTAAAGTAATTTTTCTTGATTTTGCAATTGCAGCTTAATGAAAGGCATTGATCCTCCCCTTGAAGGTGTCAAAAATTTGGTTGAAGTTACACCTGCTTCAAGTTACAATGTTCAACATATTGTATATATATTACTATACATTACTATACATATAGTAACATGTAGTTACATATGCCTATTTTTCTGTATTTTCGATTTGTATTTTTATTGATTCTGATGTGTTTTTTAAGAAAACTATAGATTTTTGTAAATTTTTGTTGGGCTTTATGAATTTTTTTTGTATAAGCCAGTATTCGTGTGTATACAATTGATCGACTAAAAATATGGGGTACAAAAACGAACATAACTACGAATTAATATAGGTACTATAGTTATATGTAGTTATTTTCAAGACAGTAAACATATTGTTTTGAATATTAAAAAAAATTAAAAAAAAATTATTATTTTTTAAATTAATTTTGTTTTAAATTAAAAAATAAAAAAATATATATATATATATATATATATATATATTTAACAAACATGTTAATTATTTAAAAAACAAAAAAAAAATAATAATAATAAATAAATCAGCGAAAATGATAAATGCAGGACCAGAAATGCTGAATGCAGTTTGGCCGAAAATTGCATATAAGGGTAGTATAGTACTTTCGCTTCTTCAGGGGGTATGTCAAAGGATGATTTGGGCTTGAGTTTATCCCTAGTTTATTTGGTGGCTAGTGGTATTTAAAATAACCCCTTTACTTATATTGAACTCTCTAACTATAATTTTCATCTAAATGATATTTATTCTTAACGTAAATAAAATATAAAGCATCATGAGAATTTTTACAATGATATTTACCATTTAAATTTAATTATACATCTGAATTTGTTTTTAGTGTTATAAATAATTCTTGACGCATTATTTTGATTAAATAAATTAAAATCTGATAATAAAATATTATTTTGTTTTTAGAGCTAAAAATAATAATAAAAAATTTAACAAATTATATTATAAAAAGATAACATACCAACACTTGCAATTAATTAGATGAAAGTTAAAATAAATTTATACATTCGAGTTTTAAGATCACGAAAATAAATACATTTTATTGTGGTAAGAGAAAAATATAATTTTATATAAAATCGAATAAAAATAAAAGCAAATCAAAATAAAACAAATTACATCATTATGTAAAATAATGGAAGTTGAAGAGAATTATTATTGAACATGATGATGATGAGATTCAGCTTAAAGAATGGTATAATTGAGGGGATGTAATAAATGTCGTTCGATCTTTAATAATACCGTTACGAAAACGTGTTTTTTTTTATCATTTTTAATTCCAAATTTTGCAAAACCTGAAAAATAGAATTTGTAGTATTTTGAGTTAGTTTTCTAATCCAACTTGAATCACCAAAATTGGATGTCGGACGAGAAATTTATACATGAATCAATGGATACTGCCCACAACTTTGATGTGTTGAGATATCTTAAATCCAAAATGAGACTCATTCATGCATAACTTTATCACACGGCATCCAATATAGAAGATTTAAGTAGAATTAGAAAGCTAACCCAAAGGACTACAGTTTTCGTGTTTCGAATTTTGCCGCAATCAAAATATAATATGTCAAAATCAGGTTCAAAGTCAAAAAAGACTATACTAAAATTGAAACGATATTTAACATTTCAGATAATTGAGGGAGGTATGTGAAGATTTTAATAGTAAAAATAAAGTAAGTGAAGGTTTTCCTTTACATAGGGAAATTAGCTGGAAGCCCTAAAAAAGTAAAATGCTTTTTGGGTATGAATATTGATATTTGCAGTTCATACCCCAAAAAACATTCTCTTTAAAAAAAATCCAAAAAAATTTCTCCCTCTAAAAAATTTTTCAAAAAATTCGAATTGAAGCTATTAATATCAAGCCAAATTCATCGAAATTTTGAGGTATTTTCAACTCCTAAACGTGTTAATTGCATTCAGTAGGAAAATTCGGTTGTAATTGCATGTTAAACAGCCCTACAAAATTGAATTATAGGGTTGTTTTGTTTCAAATAGCGCTTGGTACGCCCAAAACGGGCATTCACCAGCCTTTTCGACGCCCGGTTTGGGCGTCCAAAAGGCTTGTGAACGCCCGGTTTGGGCGTTCTGTTAGGCTATGAGCGTCCGGTTTGGACGTTCAGTTAGAAAAAAAAATAGGTATGAACTGCAAATACCAATTTTCAATCTCCAAAAAGTAAGTCCTCCTAAAAAATATTCTCTAAAGCTATAAAGACAGATGACTTTTGCTTTTTTCTTAAAAGTTTTTGTGCACTTTCTCGCTCTGAATGTGACGCTAGGTTCGAAGTCTAACAAAAAAAAAAAAAAAATTGTAACATTGTTTTCCTCTTCAAATTATTGATGACTTTTCACTTAATATTTTCTTTAAATATTATCATTTTTAGTGTCACGCGTTTAATTATTATTATTATTTTTTTACTTTTGGAATATCACCCCGTGCGTCGACAGGGGAAAATACTAATTAATATAACTGAATTGTGTAAATCTTCGCGCCGCATTTACAGAAAAAAGTTAGTAGTGGAAGAGAATAAAAAGAAGAAGAAAAAAAAGAAATAGAAAAAAAATAAAGAAACGTTGTGTATAAAAAAGAATAAAATACAAATGAGTTTATATGTGTGCTATAAAAGAGGAGAAAAAAAAAACAAAAACATTAAAACTAACGTGCATTTTGAAATCCACAAAATAAGGAAAAAATAAAAATTAATTAAAAAATGAAGAAGAAACAAAAATAAATTATTTAAGATTGACTAAAAAAAGGAGAAAATAAAGGAAATCTTTTTTTTAGAAAAACTGTTTTTAGGGTTTTCCGTCAAAATATTTCAAAAGATAATGCACCGACTTAGTTGTTTTAATAAGTAAAATTAGAAATTAGATGCATTCAACAACACATCAATTTACACGACATCTTAGAAAACTTATTTACAAAGCTTAATTATATCAACGAGCAAAAGTTTAGAAGAAAAAAACATGTTTTTCGTGTGATTACACTATGAAGCTAGACATCATTGAAAGCTTATAGCATAACTTGGTTAGACAGTTAAGATAAGCTGAAGAAAAAAACTTAAATCTCTAGGCGTACATCACCACCAACATTACCATCACCACGACCATAACCAAACAATTCTTCATATTTTTCCGTTTTGGTTTTCATAATTATTAGGTGACCACGGTGATAAATGATTGTAACCAAAATCGTATTTGTGTGTGTGTGTGGTTGTGTATGTATGTATGTAGGTAGGGGTGTGAACGAGCCAAATTTGACTCTTTTGGCAGGCTGGAGCTCGAGCTCGAGCTCGAACTCATCGAGTTCCTTCTTTTTTTGGCTCGAGCGAGCCCAAACTCATCTTGTTTTTCTGTTTTTTTTAAATATAACTTTTAATAATTATTTTATTATTATTAAAATAAAAAAAAAAAAATACAAATAAGCAATAAATTGTAATTATTTATACTTTTTAATATTAATATTTTATTTTTATTTAGATAATATTTTATATTATTATACATTATTTAGATAAAAAAAATATATAAAAAAATAAATAAAACTCGCGAGCCGGCTCGTGAGCTCACGAACAATTACAAACTGGCTCCAGCTCGGTTCGTTTGAGAGCTCGAGCTCGAAAAACTCGAGGCCGAGTTGGAGTTTTTTTCGAGCCGACTTATCGAACTCATGAGTCGGCTTGACTCGTTTACCACCCCTATACGTAGGTGTTTGAATTATGTGTGTGTGTGGTTGCATGGCAAAGATTCGATGATGGCAGCGATAGAGAGCGGAGTTGGAGCATATTTATTGGTGGATCGAACGAAGAACGGCGCGTGTAGAAAATTTCACGCAGGCTGAAACGTTAATCGACTAGGTTTATGTTCATAGTCGATTAAGCTAATCGACTATGCTCTGGTAGTCGATTAAGGTTGATCGACTCCAATTTTTTTTATTTTTTTTAGATTTTTTGTTTATTGATTCCAATTGAATAAATCATTTATAATGTTTGTATATTTTTGTAATATATAGTTGATTTTGCATTTTTTCGCAGTTGTGATTTGTTATTTTTAGTAGCAGTTTCTCAATCGACTGTGCTTCACATCCTAGTGATTAATATATTTCATTGACTCTAATTTTTTTTTTTTTTTTTTTTTGTAATTTTTGTTTATTGATTCGAATAGTATAACTCTATTATAATGTTTGTATATTATTTGTTTTTGTAAAATATAGTTGAGTTTTGTAATTGTGATTTGTTATTTTTTAGTGATCGGTTCCTTAATCGACTATAGTTCATCATAGTCGATTAAATAACTGATAGAGGAAAAAAGTTACAAGACGAAAAAAATATAATATTAATAATAATAGAATAATAATAAAAAAAACTAATAAAAAAGAAAGAAAGAAAGAACAACACGTCTGATGGGTATGGAGATAATGTATAAGGTGGAGGGACATAATTAGAAAAATGAGTAGCTGAAATTAAGAGTGAATTTTTGTCAAATAATGCAAAATATTTGGACATTTCCATATTAAAATAAGTATTGAGGGGTTATATCAAAGATCACCTCATTTGACAAGAAAATTAAAATAAAATTCATCCAAAAATATAAAAACATTTATCTCGAAAGGCGAAATAAAATAGAAGCCGAGATGAATTGATAATGATCCAATGACTAGAGTACAAAAGCCTGAAACAGACTACACAGTATGATATTATCTGAATTACAAAAACGCGGCACCCCGTAGCTGATGCCACCGCCCCCATACGTGTCTTCTAATAACCCAAATATTGAAATCCGCCTCTCCTCTATATAACACCACCCCTTTTCCATCCTCTATTCCATATCATTCATTCATTCACTCACTCACTAAATACACACACTAAATATTCTAATTAAAATGGCAAAACACACAGCAGCAGTTTTGATCCTCCTCCCTTTGTTGGTAATGGCAGTATTCACCACCCAGCCCGCCGCCGCCATCGGAGGAAAAGTGGGCGGCCGGACGGAGGTGAAGAACGTGAAAGCGAACAAGGACGTTCAGGATCTGGGCAGATACTGCGTCCAAGAGTACAACCGCCAGCTTCAGCAGAAGGCCAACGGCACCAAGCTTCTTGTTTTCTCGCAGGTTGTGGCGGCGGAGACCCAGGTGGTATCAGGAATCAAATACTATCTCAAGATCTCCGCCGCCACTCGCGGTGGCGGACCGGCCAAGAATTTTGAAGCGGTTATAGTAGTGAAGCCGTGGATACACTCCAAGGAGTTGGTCAACTTCGCACCTTCCACACCACCCAGAGATACAAAGTAGAATCATTCGCACCCAAATTTTGTCTCTTGTCTTTCACTCTTTTTTCAAATTTTGACCTTCTAATATTTCTTTTTCTTTCTTTTTTTTTCTTTTCTTTTTTTGTCCTTTTGTGAGACTAATAATAATGGGATATGTACTAATCCTCTACTAATAATGGGATTAATTTGCCCTCAGAAATTATTATTGTCCTCGCGGTTCGTTTGTTTTACTGCAATTTTATGGTGTCGTTTTAATTTTCAATATTTTACAACTTTGTTTCTCGTTTTCACATACTTTTTTACTTTCTCAGTTCTATCTAGGGTGGAAATCGGACGGAATAGATCGGAAATGCCTTTCTCGGAAATTTTTCAATTTTTTTCGGAAGTTAAAAACAGGTTCCAATTTTCGTTCTAAAAAAATTGGAATTTTAAAATTCATTTCAATTTCGGAATACTTCGGAATCGGCGGAATTTCGGAATTTTTGGAAATTGCATTAATTCTTAATTTTTTGTTCCAAAAACGGAAATAATGGTAAATTTTAGTATTGTTTTTCAATATTTTCGTAATTTTCCGGCAAAAGGCAAGAATACAAAGCAAAGGTCAATAAAATACATTCAAACACTTGTAAAGACAACATAGTTGATTTATCAAAGCAACCATAGTTCTTGCAAAATATCAAAAAGATAATTCAAATATATATATATATATATATATATATTGGAAATACAATCGGATCAGAAATCGGAACTTCCAATAATTTTATATGTAACCCCAACTCCGTTCCAAAAATAATCGGAAAAATCATAAATTGGAATATCGAAAATTGGAATGAAAAAAAGTGATTCAAATTCAGATATTTTCGGATCGGAATTCGAAAATTTCGTTCCAATTTCTACCCCTAGTTCTATCTTTGGACACTGAAACTACTAGAAGATTCAAGCAGTATTTGAAGGATGATATATACTTGAATTTCTTCCTCAATACTGGCTCCACGAGGCTCAAATTCATCTACAAGACTCGTTATATATATATATATATATATATATATATATATATATATATATATATATATATATATATATATAGAAATCGTAACAGAAACTAATTTACAAGAGAAAAATCACAATGAAGATGGCGACTAAAATAACTAAAAATAGATGAAATATAAATTGAAGAATATAACAAAGAAAAAAAATTGAACGAAAAAATTGAATAGAAGATTTGCTAATATTATGGAAGTGCAAGATGAAAACCATGATACAGAGTGATTGGAAAATATGTTCAAATATGTATTTAGTGTGTGAAAAGTTAGATCCTGATCATGCATGAATATGAACGGAATTTTGTAACCATGTTTAAAAATTAAGGGGTCCATTTTAAAGATTTTCACCTATTGTACGAAAACAAGGCCATTTATCTAGGTCACACAAAAAACCAGCCGTACTGCAAAAAAAAAGAAACACCGTAGATGTAGTAGGCTTGAGCATGGTTCTAGTCGGGCAATTATCGGCTAATTACCTACTCGACACGACCACTCAATTTTGCTGAATATTGAAAACCATTACCGGCCCCATCATTATGGATCAAATAATGGTTGACAACAGATTTTGTTTAGTAAAGAATAATGGTGACATTTGTAGTATATCAACCATCTGTTTATTCAATTTTGTTTTTCACAGTAATAAAATGTTTTTAAAAGTTTTTTTCAGAAGATATTTACAATTGTGGAAAAATTTATGTTACAAAAATCTAAATTTTAAAATTAAGAGTATCTTTTTGTATGAAACTTTTACAATAAATAAATATATAATGAAGAATATGATATAACAATTTTAAAATAGAAATAGTACGTAGAAGTTTATAAATTTGTGTATCGAGTTGTTGAGTTTAACTTCTTTTATATATTATTTTCGGCAAATATTACCTAACCAACCGACTTCTGAATAAACTGACAACTACCAACAGACCCATTTATATTAAAATTACCGACCCAACAAAAAAATTATCGGGCCAAAAAAGGGGGTCAAAAGTGAATCAGATAAAACCAAAGTGTCGTCCAGCTCTAGATGATAGTATACCATGACCTTGGTTTATCCAAAGCTAGGAAAATCAACTTGTCCATTTCATCAGAGGAATGCATCTAACTTAACATTTTAAACTTAATAATTAAGTACAGTGCAGTCTCAAATCTACCGAAACTCAGTCAGACCTATGAAATGATAAACTGATAAGTCTCTTTTGATTTTATCTACAATCCTGTTTCTTTTCCTATACATCTCTAACGGTCATAAGGAAACTCCATGTCGTTCTCAGCAACTTTGAAATGCTGAGGATTTTGACCAGCACACTGCATATTCCACATCTTGAAGTACGAACGCTCCAGATTCCTCACCTGCGAATAAAACAAATGTATATGATCAAAACATATAATAAAGCAGGCATCAAACCAAAAAAGATTCCTTATTAGCAGTTCCCATAAAAAAACGTAGATATACTAACCCATCGTGCTGTGTCAAAAAGAGGGCAAGTTAAACGCACAGCCTTCAGCCTGTTTGTAAGGTCTCGGAGCTTTGAAGGATTCAGTGCCAAATAAACTGCCTTCTCTTCATACTCTTTCATACTACAAAAATTCAAAGACGAGACACAGAGTAGACTTCAGTACCAAATTAGTGTGCAATTTCCTTTAAATAATTCATTGTATGACAAGTACAATCTCGATAGCAAATTTTTTATGTATATATAATAGTTTTCTTCCAAGAAATGAATGGTAAGGTAGAGTTACAAAGTTGAGAGACGCCTACCTATGCACAATCATCTCTTCCCCAAGTCCCGTAGCCAAACACAAAGAACCAGCAACTCTGGTAGCCATTTTCTCTAGAGGAAGAGTAACCATAGGTAGACCTGCCCAAAGAATATCTGTTCCGGTTGTATGTGCATTGCAAAGTGGCCTATTCAACACGAAACAAATTAATCAATGAATGGAATTTCATTTAAATTTGATTTTATTATCAAGTCATCTATGTTTGTACAGAAAAAGCTAAGAAAATACGTACGTATCAAGAAATAGGTTGGCTAATGCACTGCGTCTGATGTGTTCCTGTTTCATTGCAACATCCGTGAAAATTATTCGGTCAGGTTGAACACCCCGTGCGGCAGCACCTGCACAATAAAAAAAATAAAAAATTAACATTAAGATCGAATCACATTTTTTTTTTTCACGATTTTTGGATATGATGCCAGGCAGATATAATAAATAACATACGCGCTCGCAGCCTCATCTCGCCTGCAGCTGGAAATTTGAGAAGCCAAAGGACACTATTTGGAACACGTTTAAGAATATTGCACCTGTGCACATATTGAAGATAATTCCTTTAAACATTACAACAATCATCAAATATCAACTATCTCAAAATGACTTTAACGATATATTACCAAGTTGTAAAAATCTCAGGGTCCATCTTGTAAAGCTGATTGAAACAAGCAAATATAAATTTGTCCTCGGGTAATCCATAATCCGACCTTCTGTGTTGGCATTTTGGATCCAGTACATCAAGGTTTTTCTTCAAGACAAAGCAAAAAAAGTAGCAGTCAGCATAATTGATAGCCCAGGTTCAAGAAAGAAACAGATAAAAAATTCTCAATGTTTACCTGTTTATAGTCATTCACAAAATAGCAATGAGGTAGATGGACAATCTTTTCAGAGTATATATTTGAGTAGCACATAGGAGAGACAAACTGCAATAGAATTAGGAGAAACTATCAAAACTGAACCAGTCTATAGATTTAGAAATAATGTAATCGGGAAATAGTAAATAAGCTGACGAAAAGGAAGTGATCAGAATTTTTTTCTTTTAACATACGTATAAGCCAAACAGGTGATATACGAGTAATATTACCTCATCAGTGACCAAATATTGTATGTAGCTTGCGCCTGTAGTACCGGGAAATCCCATATAAGAAACCTGAATTGGAGCAGGCTGCATGGCAAATATTTCATTCCTTGCCCCCTGCAAGAATGCAGATAAAACAACAGCCGTTTCTTTCATATTCCAATTTTAAGGTGGCAGGATCCAGAAACCAAGATAACAAAAACAAAAAAAGAAACAATAAGACAAACCAGAAACTTGAGCAATCACACGATACCTTAGTGTAGCCATTAAGGTTGACAAGAATCTGTATCTGGTCCTCATTAATCATCCTTGCAATCATATCAGAAGCCATAGCTGACACATCGATAAAATGCTCCACTTCTGATTGGATACGCAGCCTCCATTCAGTACCATCATTTGGACTTAATGCATAGCAGAAGATCTACAATAACAAGAACGAATATCATTAAAGCAAGAGTGTATAACCAATCTAAAAATACATAAAAGTTGGATAGCAAAAGACCTTAAAGAAAACAACCTTATTCAAGTAACAAGACAACAATCAGATAACTACAGCCAAATAAAATACATTAAATAAACTAACCTCAACATTTTCTCTGTCGTGCATACCAAATACTGAACCCATGAGGTGTGATAGAGGATGGTTACCGAAGTCACTGCTCACATAACTGAGAGAGATGCAACACAGAATTCTTTTGGCTCCAGTAGATAAAAACGAGGATTGGTCTGAAGCACAAACATGAAGATACTTAAATGAACTTACCCGATTCTTAACCGGCTATTTCTGCCACCACCCCTTACAGGTAAGAGTGGAGGATGGGTAAAAGGTGGAAGTGAATAACGGGATGCTACAACTGAACAGTGTGCAGCATATTTCCAACTGCACATATCAAAAACAACTAATTAGAACATTGAAAACTAAAATTGAATAAACAAAACAACATAATGAATGGCAAAAACTGTTACCTGATCTCTAGTGCAAGCATGGGGTCAAGAGGATAAGCTATTGCATGGAAGGGTTGCACACTTGGAATCACTGACATCTACAATAAATTAAAACAGTAGTAAAATACCACTTGGATCTGATAATGGTGGATAAGAAAAAGTCATGGCTATATTGAATAAACTGAGGGAAGCCAGGACTCTTTTGTTGGTTACAGTGTGACAGGGCTAGAGAGTTTAAAGAACAGATTATTAGCTAACCTTAATCTGTCTCCTAAGTATCGCTTCGACTTCAATAAACATCTTGTCTCGATCATCCCAGTCGCAGACACACTGAGTTCAATGCAATTGGACAAGATAAACATATTAAACAAAGCCGAACTAGTTAGCTACGGAGAATAAAATGAATACCATCAACGCAATTATGAATATAAGCT